ATTTGGAATAGCGTTGTGTAAATACTTTTGTTTGGGAAACAGGTTTGGAAACTCTGATGTCCGAGTTTTCCACGTGTCCTTAAACGCACCGCGCACCATGCATTCGTGGATTTTTGAGAGTGCGGAAAAACACTCTCAAAAATCCGTGTGTGCGCGGAAGGTGATTCGTGTGTGTTAGACGATCCACGCATGCGTAGGTAACAATGTGTACATACTTTCTAAAGAACTGCACACAAAAAAATCGATTTTAAGCATTTGTAAAATGTGTTTTATGTGCAGTTTGTACAGCATGCATTTGTGAACAGCATGACACACACACACACAAATGGCTTTATACGTGCAGATTGCGCAGCACGCATTTGTGATCCTCATGACACACACACACAAATCGCTTGTTACAGACAAAACGTTAAACACGCATTTGTAACATTTTTGATAGTATTTTATCTCCATAGAAACGCGCCTCCCAGTGCAGCGGTGTGGCTCACTGGGGGTGTTTAATGGCTGGTGGACAACAGTGGAGGTCTACGGCACACACATGACAGTGCCGTCTTGGTGCTGCTGGTCTCTGGACGGGGTTGGTGGGCAATCACACAGACATACGGAACCACTGGCTGCGTCCTTTAATGATTCCTCAGCAGTGGAAACTGGGAAAATGCCCTGAAACCAACTTGAGCTGCTTACATCAACTGGAAACTGTGTTTCAGTTAAAAGAAGACCTCACTGGACAGGAAGTGGATGATGAAGGCCACGAGGAGGAGGAGGAGGAGCCACACACTGTTCAGACACCCACACCTGAGCAGCAGCACAACACGTATGGAACACAACAGCACATAAACAGACATCTATGACAAACACACACCAACCTCTCTGTTTGTGTTGCAGAGGACTGTGTGATGGTGAGGCCGAGGACGAACCATACACAGAGCTGCGTACCGTGAAGCAGCAGCTGGCTCTGATCAGGAAGAGATGTATACACTGCAACATTCACTGTAACACACACACACCCTGTCCTGAGCCGTACACACTGAATCTGAACCGACAGCAGAAGATCAGACTGCAGCAGCAAGTCCAGCAGGTATCTACTTTATTAATACTATGCACAGAGGTGTACACGCACGGTATACACTGATCAGCCATAACATTACGTATGACCACCTACCTAAAACTATACACAGGAGTCGGTGTGGCAGTCGATTGCAGCTCGTGTCACTGTGCATCTTCTGTAAATCTGTTTTCCATATTTACACTGTCAGGAAGTGGAAAAACTAGTGTAAAAGGAGTGAAACCTGTGGTCGTGAGGACAAGTTAGAGGTAATTTGTTAGACCCATTCAGCAGCCTCCCCACTCCAGGTGTGCTATCACCACTCCAGCCTCTGAATGTGTCTCTTCATAGAGACCAAAGTAGAGTATTTCTCATCTTCACCAATTTGAATAAAGACAAACAAAATGGAATCTTTTAGAAAAGATGAATGAAATTTAACAGTTTAATATACAGTAGGTCAAGACCTCATCCTCAGTGAGCCTTGGGTGTCTATGACTGTGTTGCCAGTTCACTGTCTGTACTTCCTTAGACCACTGCAGACCGGGAACAGCCAACACCTCCAGTCTGGGAGACGCTCTGACCCAGTCATCAGCCTTTACAGTCTGACCCTTGTCAAAGTCACTCAGATCCTTACGATGCCTGTTTTTTCAGCTTTGAGGACTGAATGTTCAGCTGCTGCCTAATGTACCCCCCACACTGACAGGTGCCATTGTTAGCAAATTAACACTAGTGGACTTGGAAAATGACTGCCCCTCACTGTTGTGGAGGTGCTACACCATTCAGCAGTGGAAGTCAACAGTGCAGCATAACTCGGTGTGTGCTGCGCTGCTGTAACCTGCAGATACAGCCTGTGTTGTTGTAAAACCACCCGTCTCTGTCTCTGTCTGTCTCTCTCAGCACGTCCAGCTGTTGACTCAGGTTCACCTGTTGACTTCACCTGTGGCCAGACTTCACAGTGAGGCTGAGACCACCAGACAGTTCCTGGTAACACACATACCATGTAACTCATATAAAAAAGGTGTGTTTTTGTGTCCTGTGTTACCTTGATGACCTCTCTTTGTAGTTTGAGTTGGACGTGTTGGCTCAGAGAGCCGAGCTGCTCGTGTCTTCAGCCCGTCCTGGTTTCTGCAGCCTTTTCAGAGCCTCCAACCTGCTGGGGGCATTACAGCTACTGGAGGAGCTGCGACAGTCCCCCATCAGCTACCAGCCACAGCACCACTCACCTGATGCCAGAGGACGCAGTGAGTTCACCTGCAGCTATAAATCATGGGAGGTTTCATTGTGAATTGATAAAACTAATGTGAAACTAATGGTAGGGGGAACACTGCACACAGAATGTTTGGAGATGTGAAATAATTTTAAAGTGACATGAACGAAGTGCTAGACTTTGAGGTTCTGGATTCCAACATGTTTGTGAATATGTGACTTGTAAACTTGCAGGTTCCGGGTTCGGGCCCCTCCCGGGGCCTTTCTGTGTGGAGTTTGCATGTTCTCCCCGTGCTTGCGTGGGTTCTCTCCGAGTACTCCGGCTTCCTCCCACAGTCCAAAGGCATGCACCTTAGGTTGATTGGTGTCTCTAAATTGCTCATAGGAGTTTGTGTGCGTGTGTGTGGTTGTTTGTTTATGTGTTAGCCCTGCGATGGATTGGCGACCTGTCCAGGGTGTACCCCGCCTTTGCCCGATTGCCGGCCGAGATTGACTCCCCCCCGCAACCACGTTCAGGGACTAAGCGGTAGAAAATGAATGAATGAATAAACTTGTCTCTTGTCTGTGTATTTCCAGTGCGTTGTTACCCCATCATGCCAGCTGAACTGGCCTGGATCTTCGCCACTCGTCCAGTCTTCCTCTACCCAGGGCTGCTGCCCTGTGCCAGTCTTGACCCGGCTCTCTACTGCCCCCGCAGGACGGCCGCATTCACTGCAGCTGAGGACTGGTAAACAGCAACTCCAACACCTGCTTTAAATGTTTGCTATTTCTTACTGTTACAGTATGTATTCCTGGGTGTTTTCAGCCTCCTGGTACTTGGCCTCAGGAACATGGAGGGGTCATGTGACCCAACCAAGCTGGTGTCTCAATTCCTGTTGAGGAAGACTCTGGTCCAAGTCCGGCGGAGAATCCTGCAGTGCTGCAGACCTGGTTTTCCCGACAATATTGTCAAGGTACCACGTATAGAGCTGGTTGCAGTTGAGGGTGTGGATTTCTGCTGGACTCATCTGACTGTGTCTGTCTTCTGCAGGCCTTCAGGTATCAGCAGGTTGTGTGGCCGATGCCGGTGGCCTGCAGCCCTGTTGACCCGGCTGAGCGACGCCCCCCAGTGGAGAGAGAGGAGCGTGTCATGCCTCTGTGGCTTGTGGTAGGTGACAAGGAGGTATCACTAACTCAAATGGTCCAGGTACAGAGGATCACTTTCTGGATCCAGCCTGAACAAGAAGTCAGGGACAGAAACATTTATCAGTGCCACACCCGTGAAAGTGAACACACGTGTTGTATGTTAACACATTTGTGCAGTTGAAGGGGCTTTTCCCAAACTCAGCAGCTTAGAAGACTGGAAACTTTGGTGTCTGCACTAGAATTGGAGCAGTTTGTTTTTACGCTATCTATCTGACCTGTAATAATGAAGTGTTATCTAGCATTTCTCATTACACTGTATATTAGTCTCTTGTTTATTTTATGTGCTCTTTCTGTTATTCTCTTTAGTTTACATTTATATTCTTAAACTTATTTTTAATTGCTGTCTATTTATCTTGTATGTGAGTTAGTATTCAGAAGTTTCAGAAATTTCCCCACTGATCAATAAAGTACCTACAGTCATGTGAAAAAATTCGGACACCCTTTGAAAGCATGTGTATTTTGTAACATGTTTTAATATATGGTTATTTAATCTCAATTTTAACAATACAGAGAGATTAAAGTTATACAATTAAACAAGTAAAACTGAAGAAAAGTCATTTCAAGATCTTCTGTAAATGTAATTCTACAAAAATGTCTATTCCAACTGAGGAAAAAGATAGCACACCCTAGCCCCTAATAGCTAGTGTTACCTCCTTTGGCTGAAATAACTGCAGTGAGACGGTTCTTGTAGCCATCTACCAGTCTCTGACATCAGTCTGAGGGAATTTTACCCCACTCCTCAATGCAGAATTGTTTCAGCTGTGAGATGTTTGAGGGGTTTCTTGCATGTACAGCCCTTTTCAAGTCACCCCACAGCATCTCAATGGGATTCAGGTCTGGACTTTGACTCGGCCATTCCAGGACTCTCCATTTCTTCTTTTTCAGCCAGTCTTTGGTTGATTTACTAGTATGTTTTGGGTCATTGTCATGTTGCATGGTCCAGTTCAGCAAGTTCACACCAAGAGCAGACCGCAAGATGCTAAAAGAGGTCTCCAAAAACCCTAAAATGTCATCTCGAGACCTACAGCAGGCTCTGGCTACTGTTGATGTAGAAGTGCATGCCTCTACAATCAGAAAGAGACTGCACAAGTTTAACTTGCATGGGAGGCGTGCAAGGAGGAAACCTTTGCTCTCTAAGAGAAACATCAAGGCCAGACTGACATTTGCCAGAGAGAATGTTGACAAAGACCAGGACTTCTGGAATAATGTTCTTTGGACAGATGAGTCCAAAATTGAATTATTTGGACACCAGAGCAGAGGACATGTTTGGCGTAAACCAAACACAGCATTCCAGGAAAAGAACCTCATACCAACTGTGAAGCATGGAGGTGGAAGTGTCATGGTTTGGGGCTGCTTTGCTGCAGCAGGACCTGGTCAGCTCACCATCACAGAATCCACCATGAATTCTACTGTGTATCAGAAGGTGCTTGAAGAACATGTGAGACCATCGGTTAGAAAATTAAAGCTGACAGTAAATCAACCGAAGACTGGCTGGAAAAGAAGAAATGGAGAGTCCTGGAATGGCCGAGTCAAAGTCCAGACCTGAATCCCATTGAGATGCTGTGGGGTGACTTGAAAAGGGCTGTACATGCAAGAAACCCCTCAAACATCTCACAGCTGAAACAATTCTGCATTGAGGAGTGGGATAAAATTCCCTCAGACCGATGTCAGAGACTATTAGATGGCTACAAGAACCGTCTCACTGCAGTTATTTCAGCCAAAGGAGGTAACACTAGCTATTAGGGGCTAGGGTGTGCTAACTTTTTCCTCAGTTGGAATAGGCATTTTTGTAGAATTACATTTACAGAAGATCTTGAAAAGACTTTTCTTCAGTTTTACTTGTTTAGTTGTATTACTTTAATCTCTCTGTATTGTTAAAATTGAGATTAAATAACCATATATTAAAACATGTTACAAAATACACATGCTTTCAAAGGGTGTCCTAATTTTTTCACATGACTGTACCTAGTATTATTCTACTCCTTACATACCTGTTGTTTCTTGTGCTGCTGTAATCTAACCCATATCCATCCATGACGAGGTTTGTGCAAATCATTCAGTAGCTCAGAGTGAGGCCCCACAGACACGTGCTGATCACAGTGGATGGATGAACAGGGATCAGTGGGTGGGACTCTGCCTGCACTGTGTGTCGGCACGCCGTTTGCAACCGGGATGTAGTGCAAATATATCCAGCAGAAGGACTGCAACTTGGTTTGTTCTCTAACCGCATCTATTTTTCAACCCCCCACAGAGGAGCCTTCCTGTCATCTACCCAACTATCAAAGACTACAACAGCCCACCTGGCACCACCTCACAGGCCCCACCCCCCTGCAAGTTGGGTCGACCCCGTCAGAGTCACCTGACCTTCCTTCGCTCCGCCTCCAACACCTACAGCTACCCCCCAGGGACAAGATACCCGCTCCGCCTCCCCAAAAACCTTGATTTCAGACGCATCGGCTTTGTTCAGCTGCAGCAGCCCCTCTCCTCTGATTCCCCTGACTCCTCCCTATTACCTGATGGACAGACAGACCCTTCCTCCTCACCACTTCACAAACCCTGCTCCCCCCGAGATATCAGCATCACCACCTCCACTGTCTCCATGGCAACCACAGAGCAAATTAGACGCCACTATCAGACTCTCGCTGCTCTGAGGAGGAGGAAGAGGAGTGAGGAAGACAGACTGACCATGCCTTCTCTGGTTGAGGTGGGTAATAATGTCATCAGAATGAATGAAGAAGAGGAGGTGCAAAAGGAGGAAGATGAAGAAGAGCAGGGAGAGGAGAGCAAGGTCCTCTTGGCTCTGTCTGAATCATCATCCAGTGCTGCAGGAAGTGTCACCCATGATGACCTGGCCAACTCTGAGGAGGCAGAGTCAGGGCATGAACAGGAAGTGACACTGACTCCATCGAGCGCATCAGCAGCAGCAAAAGGAGATGACGATGACGGAGGGACGTCTTCAGATGAATCCAGAGTGTCACTACTCCAGCCGCAGGTCTGTCTCTCCACACATTTTACCATTTTCATATCAGTCACAGTGAAGTTGAGAAAGTTAATCTGCATCTATTGTAATCATCAGTTAATGTTTCAGTCATTTTAAAGGACGATGACTCAAATGTGACAATGTGCTGATTTTCTAGTTACTGAGTAACTTGTGGTGTGTAGACTGAGCGATGAACTGAGGAAGTCATCTGCAGCTTAAAAGTAACAGTTGTAGCACTAGAATAACAGCAAATGTGTCTGTGTGTTCAGCAGAAGCTGTTTTCAGAAGGTACTGAGGATGATGAAGATGAGCAGTGGTCTGAGGATGTGGCATTTGCTCAGGATTACCTGCACAGAGTAAGACATGAAATCACAGAGAGAGAGAAAGAAACGGGTGTCTTCAGGAGGGAGGATGCCTGCTTTTCGTATCTATACTTATTTATTTTTTAACAAATACAACTGGTGGTTTTTCTCCAATATATCCGTCACTCCGCACAGTTACCGCCCAGGTCACTTGCAGATCAGTTTCAGTAGTCAGCATCTTTGTAAATGTCTTTGTCAGCTGCCTGATTTACCCGCATTCATTTAGAGAAAGGTTCTAAAATAAAACTCCGAACATAAAACTGTGAGACGCAGAAGAAAAACAGCAGCAACAGAATGAAGCACAGGCTGTGCAGAGCACCAGCGCTGTTCAGTACTCGCAGCCATAAATAACACGACACAGATGACGAACTGTTTGGTGTCACAGCGATTGGCCATGTCCACAGCCACACTGCTAAGACAGTGATTTGGCTAATAAACAGACTAACCTGCTGTCAGCTGTCCAGTCAGAGTCCATGTGACTTATGTCTAGATTGGAGTTCCTGGAGGATCCTGATCTTCTGTAGACCAGAGTTCGCCTGAAACAGAAGGGAACTGCATCGGTTTTCTTTGGTCTGCACTAAATGACCTGGTCCGAAATGCAGGTGTGAAGCACACAGACCAGTCGGTCAGAGTGGCAGCAGTGTCGCACATTTTGTGATTAACATTAAAACATATGAAATGGTTTTACCTGAAGCACCTGAGCAGTAACACAACCTGCTGCTTTCTGATTGTGCAGAGAGACACAATGTTAGTTGTTTGAACTTCTTGTTTTCTGAGCAGGTGTGTGAAGCGGTGCAGGTGTCTCCTGGCCTCTCTGAGCAGCTGCTGCAGTTGCTGGATCAATTTTCAGCCGCGGGGCACCTAGGGCCCTCGGGGGGGCCCGAGCTTCTCTATGCCGGACTGAGCAGCATGCTGCAGCCCTGGCCTCAGCTGCTCCGAGACTTTGCCGCCTTCCTGAACCAAGGACAGGCCCGTCGCTGTGGACTGGTGAGTGACATCACTCTGAAGTCACTATGTTGTCATTCAGGTACAAATTGAACCTGTTCACTCTTCTTCTGTGGTGTTTCTCTACAGCTGTTGGAGCAGCAGTTGTTTGAACGCAGCCGGCGGTTTCTACGGCGATTGTGGCAGAGACTGGGAGAAAGCTCCTCCCTCTACCAACAGGTGGTGTCAGTGCTACAACGAAGTTCCACCCCCCCACCTGAGGACATGGACAAGGTAGATGATGACCTTTGACCTCATCAGAAATCAGCTAATCACCAGTTTAAACTACAGATGAACAGAAGTGTTATTAATTAATTGCATCTTTTAAGTATCAAATCAATTAGAAGAGGATGAGTGTGAAGAAGAAGAGCAGCAGCGCCGCCCAGGGGCTGTCATGTTCATCTCACACCTCAAGTTCTGATTTATGTCTGGATTAAAACCAGTTTTTCTGATCAGCCTCATCTTTCCTCTCAGATCTTGACTCTTCTCAAACCCCACCCTGACCTGCAGGAGGAATTCTGGGAATTTTTCCAGCAGCTTCACTCCCGCTCATCAGAATCAAGCTCATATAGCACAGAGATAGATTCTTTTTTCCAGAATACTCCTGAGAGGAACAGGAAGAGAATTGACCAAGAGAGAGAGACAGGAGAAGAAGACGAGGATCGACCAGTTTGTGCTAAAAATGTCTTGATGACATCGACTGGAGAAAAAGTCGTCATCTGGACCCGGTCAGAACCAAATAAATCAAAAAGATACAGATGATCAGTTTACTGAAAGTTTGATTTTCAGTTCCAGAAACAGATCACTTGATCTCACTCAGTTACCGTGGCAACTTAGTGCGTGAATCTAACCTGCTCACTGGCAGCATTTCTTCAAAAAACCTTGACTGTCCCTCTGTCTCCTCTCCCCCTGCAGAGTCTGTCCGATAGTAGCCTGACAGTTTGTTACATGAAACGTGGCTTTACTATCGTTTTAATGATCTGCACTCTGTGCAGAGGCAGTGAGCTGTCAAATTTACACAGCATGGGTTCATCCTCAGCTCTGGATATGAAGACAGCTGTTAGGCTGCCAGTCAGTTTCTGTGCACTGACACATCGACCGTACGTTACTGGGATCGGTGTAGGCCTCAGTGTGCCAAGCTTTGCACATATAAGACACTGACCAATGAATAATCACTTCTGGTGTTGTTATTGGTGGCACTTGGATCATTTATTGAGCCTTTTGGAGATTTTGTCAATATTTGCTGTGAGGAGGATTGTAGTGCAGCTTACAGTTAAACTTAAGACAGTTTAAAAGTCAGTTTCTGAATGCAGACTATATATGGCCTTAAACTGGTTTAGCAGCATTTCAGTTACTCTGATTACATTTTTATGTAGTTTTTAAATGCTGTTAAACATGATTTTTTTTTTTTAATCTGTAATGATCCATCTAAAAATGGACTCATTTTAACCTCAACTTCATGGTGCCGTGGTGAATCAACGTTAGAGCTCCATTGATAATGGCTTTTTGTAGCCCCCACTCTCGAGCTGAACTCTGAGTGAATCACCTGAGAGTTAATGGAACTAACTCTGATCAGCTGTTTTGGAACTGAAAATGCAAGGGCTTCCCTTCTCAGGATTGGTCAACTCAGAGCTCAGGGTTAACTTCAGAGTTTGTTGAACTTTCTGGAATAGACAAATATTGTACAACAATACAAACAGTAAATAAAACCCATGAATAACATCATTCCTGTTTCAGGGAGGCAGACCGTGCCATCCTGACAGCCTGTCAACAGAAAGGAGCCAGTTGGAAAACATTCCGACAGGTGTCTGCCCAACTGGGAAACAAGACCACCCAACAGGTGAGACGGCAGAGTTTCAGGGTCCAGGTGCTAAGAAGTGGAAACGGCAAAATTCAGTTTTATTTATGCTTTATTAATGCGTCTTTAAATGTTACAAAGTAGATTAAAAGATTACTCCTCTGTTTTCTCCAGGTGAGTCTTCGTTTCCAGGACCTGATGAGTCTTTTCCACTCAAAAAAGTCTCAAAAACCCAGTTCCTGTTTCTCAGAAGGCCAGCCAATCAGTAGACCAGAACCAGCCCCGGACTGAAGGCCGGCCCAATCACAGAGATGTCTGTAAACAACCATGGCCTGGACTTCAGAGCAGAGACTTTGATCCAGATCAGCTGCTTTGGGCTCAAACCTGCATGGTTCAGGCTCCATTAAATCTCCTGAAATGGACGAGACTCTATAAGAGTTTCAGACTGTTCTGGGTTCAGGAGCCTTGCTCTAGAATCTGTACTCTTGATTCTAGATTTTTTTGTTCAGAATGAAAGATGGATTGTTCAGTTATTGACCTTGTGGTTTATACCCAGAAGGATCAGAGTTCTTCAGCAGTTGGTTTCTTCTTTTGGAGCTTTGAGCTCACTCTGTGAAGACCAGTCAGAGTGCACCCTGATTTTCATATATATTTTTAAGCATTATTTAATGTTTTGCATGAGCGCTGACCTCATCAAGACTCCTCCCACAATGGGCATCAGTGACTGCACCAAGAGGAAGGAAACACCTCACCCAGCTTTGTATTGAGTTTTATCATTTGTATATGTGAATTTATGTGGGCTGATATTTCCTAATATTAAATAAATAATTAAGTACAACTTAATGGTTTTTGATTCATTTTGGACAACTCAGCATATTCTGCTCCTTCATTTTATTATTGTTTTTATTTTTGTATTTGAATTATGTTCCTATATTCCATTAGTTTTCCCTTGATGCACTGAAATGATCCCAATCCCATGATTCCCAGTGGCTTTACGTAAGTGTTAGTGGAGGATGTACCAAGGTGCTATGAAGGTTTTGATGAAAATGTTTGGTTATTCATATAGAATATGAATAAATGAAGGGCGACTGCTCTAATAAAATATTTTTTACATTTCCAAACACTTGGTATTGAGTTTTATCATTTGTATATGTGAATATATGTCGCTTGATATTTCCTAAAATTAAATAAATAATTAAATACAACTTAATGGTTTTTGATTCATTTTGGACTTCAAAATGATTATACTTGTCTTCATTTGTGAATTTTGAAACCGCATTTAAAAAAATAAGATATATAACATGTATTCTGCAATACACAATGAACTCTAATAACATAAAATGTTCTAATCAGCTAACATCACTAGATTATTTACTTTGTAACTGATGTTTAAAATATTTCTCAAACATTTAAACAGATTTCATCCATATGTAGTTTAACAAAATAGGTTTTACATGTGATGTAACATTGTGATACAAGTGTAATCCAGTCTAAAATGACAGAGACTAAATACTATATAGATGTATTTATTTTAATTAGTACAAAACAAACATTCAGAAAAATGTAGAAAACTCTGTAGCCTTTTTAACGGCAGGTTTTTTTGACTGGGTTCTCAGTTCAGTGAAATAAAATACTGACCTTTAACCCGAAAATACCATTAATAAACTGCCAGGTATTTGCTGCATACCCAGGAATTTATTTGGGTGGTGGACGTTTTGTGATTGAGAAGTCATTTGTCCAATGAGACTATTACATCACCTCTAACCGCTGTGGACCAATCAGAGAGCACGTTCCTTAATTTTCTGTTTAGGTCTTGTCTTTCATCTAATAGCTGGAGAGAGCACGCATTAGTGAAGTCAGCCTCGGTTAGCCAGATAGATACCGGAAGCTGAAAAAAACTTAGAAAAAATTAACTGGACTAGATTTCTAGGTCGAAGACGTTTCATCAGGAGGCTTCATCAGTTCTTCATCATTTATCCCCCTCGGTGGTGTTTCAGTCCTTTGAAGGCACCACCGAGGGGGATAAATATCTCCGGCTCAACACCAGTCAGTCAGAACTGATGAAGCCTCTTGGATGAGAGGTGAAACGTATTCGACCTAGAAATCTAGTCCAGTTGATTTTTGTCTAAGTTTATTTCAGCTTACTATGACCTGAATGACTGAGTATCTGCACAGACATAGATACCGGAAGTATCAAAATAAGAAAACTGCGTGCTTAATGGGGGGTAGGGGGTAGTAGGGCCGCGGTAGCCCCTGGAGGATGGTAGAGGGCCTGTATATCCGCCACAACTATAAATCGAAAACATTAACAAATTAATTAAATAAATGAATTCTATATAATTAAATTGCATAAAAAATGCCCCACTCGCCCCACTTCGGTATCTTATTCCTTCCTTCGAGTTTTTCGAGCCTCATCTTCTAATAGCCTATCCATTTCGTTTGTGTCACTGTATAGTCTGTTGAAGATAAGGATTTTATTTTGGAAGTTATGACCGGAAACATTGGTGCTTTCGTCTACCCTAACCCTCCGGTTAACGAGAGGGTCTCCTCGGTCTGTAACGTCTCTGTTGAATTTTTTTAATTTTTACATCTAAAAATCATTTGTCATTTCCCTCCATCATGGTGGCCTCTGTCCGCCTCCTGTCCACCGTCACTTTGGCGCTGTTTTCATGTTTTCTCGACGTGGTGTCCTCGCGTAGAGACGTGCTCGAGCTCGGGGACGCGGACTTTGACTACCTGGCAACGGAGCACGAGACTATGCTGGTGAAATTCTACGCTCCATGGTAACGGAGGAATGTTAGCATCAGAGCCCTTAGCATTAGCACGGTTAACTCAGGAAACAGATAACGGAGTGACGTTACCGATTATTGAATGTTTTTTTGTAGAAAAAGTAATAACTGCTGTGTGTTAACCTCTCCTCCTCCATCCTTCCATCATTTCTCCAACCTTCCCTCTGTCCATCCTTCCTTTCCCGTCCCTTCTGTCCTTTGCTCTCTTATTATTTGTATATACATTTTTTTTAATTCCTTCTTTTTCCTCGTCTTAACACTTCTTTCCCCTTTCCTCTCTTTCCCCTGCTCTCTTTTCTCATCTTCCTCTCAGGTGTGGTCACTGTAAGAAATTAGCTCCAGAGTTTGAGAAAGCAGCGACTAAACTGAAGGGAATAGTGCAGTTAGCAAAGGTAATATAACCATCAGTATTAATATTAGCATTGTTAAGCAGTCAGCTGAAGGAAAAGTGTATAACACAGTTCACTTCCAGAGAAGCAAACATCAGTTAAATGAGTCTGTAAATCAGATTAAAGACATGATCAAATTACGTTTCATTAACATTTTTAATCTAATTATTCAACATATTATTATAAGATCACTTTGATAAATCATGACCTTGTTTAAAGTTGAATTGTATTATGAGTCACCTGTCACTCTCTCCTCATCTCTCTCTCTCTCCTCACCTGTGTCTTCTCATGTCTCTCCTCACCTGTCTCTCTTCACTCGTTTGTCATCACCTGTCTCTCTCCTCACCTGTGTGTCATCATCTGTCTTTTTCCTCATCTCTCTCTCCTCACCTGTGTCTCCTCATCTGTGTCACTTCACTCGTCTGTCGTCACCTGTCTCTCTCCTCACCTGTGTGTGTCATCATCTGTCTCTCTCCTCACCTGTCTTAGGTGGACTGTACCGCTCACTCAGAGACCTGTGGCCGTTTCAGTGTCTCAGGTTACCCAACTTTGAAGATCTTCAGAAACGGACAAGACTCCGCCCCCTATGGTGGACCTCGCACTGCAGGTAAAAAAAATTAAAAACACACAAATGAAATAAACACACACAAAGAGTTTGACTATCAATCTGTGTGCTCAGACGGGATCTATCAGTACATGAAGAAGCAGACCGGTCCAGACTCAGTTCACCTGAAGACTGAGGAAGACCTCCAGACCTTCATCAACCACTATGATGCCAGTATCGTAGGTAGGACGCACAGATGTTACTGTTTACATGTGTCATCATGTGACTGGGCATGCTACGCTATGCTACATGATGATAAACTACATGATTTCACTGTACTGCTACGATGTGCTGTTCGGTGTTATGTGTTGTTTTGTCACAGTACGTTGTTATGTTAGGTGCCTGTATGTGATGTCACATTATGTTACATGGGGCTTCTTTGTTCTACTACATAGTTACATTATGTGCTGTTACACGGTGGCATGTTATTTTACTTTATGATGCTCTACTTTACATGATGTTACTCTATGTCTCCGGTTATTTTGTGTTGCAGGACATTGTTAGGCTGTCCTGTGATATGACACAACCTTCTGTTCATGTTACGTCTCTTTACCGTATGTAAGCTGTTGTCACTGTGACCTTGACTGAACCCAGGTGTGTTTGTGTCTCAGGTGTGTTTTCCAGTGCCGACAGCTCTCGCCTGGCAGAGTTTCTGAAAGCTGCAGGTCTGTTGAGAGAGCAGTTCAGGTTTGCTCATGCCACTGACCTGAAGCTGGGAGAGGAGTACGGACTGGACTCTGAGTGAGTTCAAACTGAGCCGTGATGTGAATTTGATGGTGGAGATTTCTTAGAAATGACTTTGCAGCCTAGGCTTAACTTTACTGTCCTCGAGAACACACATTCTTTAAAATAAAGCATAAAAGTACATGAAAAACCTGAATAAATGCTTATCTACACGAGAACAGAGCAGTGTCTCACATGTGGTAAAATGTATAGTGTATACTTTGCATCACAAACTACTGTGAAAAACTTGTCTGTATCTGCTATCCACTTTACCTCTATCCAGAGAAAAACAAAAGCCAGTGATTGGCAGTTTGAAGATTATCCTGATGCATGTGTTGTTTGTGTGTGCTTTCAGGGGTGCATTGTTGTTCAGACCACCCCGAATGGCCAATAAGTTCGAGGACAGTGTCGTTGTCTTCACAGATTACCTGACCATCGGGTCTCTCAGACGCTTCATCAGAGACCACATGTGAGTTTTCTCCTTCCACAGCATGATACAGGAACTGCAGCTGAACCTCTGCCTGTCTGTCCACCTGTCCATCTCACTGTCTGTCTACCTGTTTGTCCATAGTTATGGTCTCTGTCCTCACATGACTCTGGAGAACAGAGATCGTCTGAGAGTTTGGGACTTGCTGACTGCATACTACGACCTGGACTATCATCACAACACTCGGGGGTCCAACTACTGGAGGAACAGGTAAACATGTGCAGGTCTTATACATGCAGGGACCTGTACCATGAAGTGAGACCGGCGGCTTACCCAGCTAACTTTGGGCTCAGCTCGGGCTTTCTGGTACCGTGAAGCTGGTTCACTACAGTAACTGATGCTGCAGCTATCTGCTCCAGAGTAACCCCTCATTTCCACCGAATGTGGCTGCATTGTTTTCAGTCTGCGACCCATTTTTGATCCATCCTTTATGTGGTTTCATCACTCACCGGGTCCGTCTGCGAAGCAGCTTGTTGTGGTGCTGATTTTTCATGTAGGACATTGTTCTGGTTTTTTTTAGCTTCTGCAGTAAGTAGGCTTTGTAGATAAATGGTTTCTCTTTTGCCTGTCAACTGTATTCATTGTTCTTATTTCCTACTTTTTTGTAGGTGGGTAGGTAGGTAGGTAGGTAGGACTTTATTGATCCCACAATGGGGAAATTCCTGTGTTCCAGCAGCAATAGAGAGCAGCAACAAAACACCATAAGAACAAGAACCACACACAAATCTTGAGAAACAAATTCCAAAATACCTAAAACCAGACAGTATATAAAATATTTGAGAGACAGTCAAGAACAAGAATGATCCTCCCACAATTAATCCCTGAGAACAAATCAAAAATACCTAAGAACAAGACAAGATATAGCATTCAAGAGAGATCAAGAAATCAAGGACAAGAATATTACTCCCATAATTAATCCCGCAATGGGGAAAATTCCTTTATTTCAGTGATGAGGACCTCTGAAAAACTACCCAAAAATACCTAAAACAAGACAATATAAAGTATTCGAGAGAAATCAAGAACAAGATTTTACATATGTGCATATTTACAATGCATTTTACCCCCAGGATTTGAGTATTGAGTTGACTATGATTTGTATAACACAAAGCAAACATGGAAAACTTCAGAAAGCATGGGGGAAAAAAACACAAAAGAGGACAGAGCTGCTGGAACTCACTGCACTCCGTTCGGTGTCGGGAGTAAGTTGTGTGTAGCCTACACACAAAGATGACAGTTAACAGTTAAATATAATTTAATGGTTACAGTTAAGTTGTTATGAAACATGGATTAAAGATTTGTGGCTATGTTTCCATTGTTAACAGTGCATTCATTCTCATGGACTAATCATTTCATAGCCTATCTATGTTTCACATAGATATCTTTCGGGAAAAGCACTGATTGATGGGTCAAACTTTTTCAGAAGTGTCCCAAATGCAGCATCCCTCAAAAATAGACGTGATGCATCTCTTTAGCAAAGTGGACCAGAGAACCACATGTGGGACGGATCGGAAATCTAATGCAGCCGGACTCAGTGGAACTTAGGGGTAACTTCAAAGGATTGGATCAAAACCTGTCGACAGCCCGAACACTGACCAATCTCAAATGTGCATACGCACAGGTGAGAGTTTACGTACAGGTGCACACACTCTCAGGTCAAGTTTGTTTTTATAAATCCCAGCTTTTCTGTGGGAAGTGGTGTACTCATGTTTGAAGCCCCATTTTGTACATATGCCACATTTAGAAATGAGGCCCCAGGACAGGTCTTGGTTCTCAAGCTCATATTCTTTCTTTTTGAAAACATTATTGTGTATATTGTTGTAATTGTGAGGAAAATCACCCTAACATAATGCACCTAATGCCCTTTGTTTAAACCTATGATTAGGGACACTGGTATGAATCCAATCGAGAACTTTTACCTCCTTCTCCACATTACAATTTTTAGCCGTTGTATGCCAGACTTCATGATCAAGCGTATCCAGGTAATATATATTCAAGTATACATGTCAGCTGGGATTGGATCCAGCCACCCTATTTGGGAATAAGCAGTATAGATAATGCAGGGATGGTACACACAGGTACACATAGTACTGCATGAACTAGTACAAACATGCAGTTAACCTCCCTGTTACCTGAAGACAGGTGTATTCAAGCCCTGCCTGCTGTATTCTGTTTCCAGGGTGATGAAGGTGGCATCTAAATATGCTGGGCGGGGTCTGATGTTTTCAGTAGCGAATAAGAAGGACTTCCTGTCCGAGCTGGAGGACGACTTTGGTTTGGGGGCTTCAGATGGAGGGGAGCTGCCATTCGTCACAGTCCGGACCAAACTGGGTCACAAGTACATCATGAGAGAGGAGTTCACGTATGTAACCGTGCCGAACCAAGAACCAATTCAAAATAATGCACCTGAGGAGACACGAGTTGATGTGACGGGGCCACGCTGGGCACAGTCAGAATCAGGCTGAAGCAGGCTAACGGTGGTCATGTTTAAAACATACTCACCTGTGTGACCTCACACATGTTCAGCCAATCAGGTTGCAATGAACACACCTGAACATGGTGTACTAGCCAGTCTACTGAAGCTGATGTGTTTGTTGCAGGAGGGACGGCCAGTCCCTGGAGAGGTTTTTAGATGATTACTTCGCAGGTCGACTCAAACGTTACATTAAGTCTGAACCTGTACCTGAGAGGAACACTGCTGCTGTCAAGGTGAGATGGGCTCAGAGAAACCTTGTTTGTCTGCCTTCATTCAACAGAGTACAGTAGAAACCACAATGAATATGACATGTATCAACTGTTCTGGTCTGGACTCATACCACTGTGGTCACACAGTCGGCATCTTTGGAACTGATCCACTGGTACACTGACCCTTGTGTGACCTCTGACCTCTCTGCAGGTGGTTGTTGCTGAGTCCTTTGATGACATTGTTAATGATCCAGGTAAAGATGTTTTGATCCAGTTTTACTCCCCGTCCTGTCCACACTGCAAGAAACTGGAGCCTGTCTACAGAGAGCTGGCTGACACGGTACACACATTTCACCAGGCTCTAAGACCACATTTCCCATGAGCCCTTACACCTCTAGACCATGGCAGACTCCGCAGAACGCCACCTGCTGATGTTGCGCTTTCATTGTTTTACATTTTCAGAATAAATATATTTTTGTGTAATAAGCCATAAGGAAAATAAATGTTCCTGATTAGTGATAGAAATCAAAACTACATGTATGAAATAGATTTTATGCAGTTTTCCAATATCTGGTCAGTTATTAAAGTGTCAGAGTGAAGAAGAAGCAGAACTTCTTCTTCACTCTGACACTGCAACTGGTCAGGTTTGACTTTCATCCTAACACCTGTGCTCATGTAAATGTACCACAATGTCTTTTTAGGGCCAGGTATCACTGCGTTTTGTGCTTTTGTGTTCCAATAAGTGAAGCAGTTTGTCTCTGTGCTATGGTGGACTGGTCCAGACTGGCCCTGATTCAGATCTCTAAACTTTATCTGTCTCTCAGCTGAGTTCTGATCCGAGCATTGTCATCACCAAGATGAACGCTGTCGATAATGACATCCCGCTGGGCTACGACGTCCAAGGGTGAGAACTCAGTTTCTATATGTGCACACTCGTGTTAACCATCACAGAGTCGGGCCGTTGTCTCATCTCTCTGTCTCTGTCTTCAGGTATCCAACCATTTATTTTGCTCCAGTGGGTAAAAAGGACGAGCCCATAAGATATGAGGTAATGCACAAATTCCCAGTTATTTGATGTCTGACCATCATGTGATGTTACATGACATCTCTCTTCTCTCAGGGAGTCAGAGAACTCAAAGACTTCCTGAAGTTCCTGAATCGTGAGGCGAGTCACAGTCTGGTGTTCAGTGGGTCGAAAGATGAACTCTGACACACCTTCATCCACCAATCAGGTTTGACTACAGGGCACACCAGCTGGTCTCCATGACAACAGACACAGGGAGAAAACAGGACAGGAGTCTGGATCTTGCTGACAGACCGGGACTTGAACCAGATACGGGAAGTGTATATCATGATATCATACATGTCATCACCAGCCTGCTGTCAAGTGACCATCAGCTGATTCATAAATATATTTTATTTAATTTTATTTGTTGTAATTTATTTTGGAAACATTCAATGTTTTGGTTTTTGATTTCTGGCAAAGGAAGTGAATCAGTGATAAAGAACATCAGAAAATAAAAAATCAGTACAATACAAAATACTACTACTACTACTAATAATAATAATATAAAATCGCCATGTAATTTACTAATAATAGATGACAGGATAAAATAAATCATTCTCTTTGCAGTCTTTAATGTTGCTACTAAAGTGTCCATTAAAATAAATGAATGCACAAATTAAATGTATACAGCTTTTTAAAGCATCTAATGTCCATCAAGGTCAGTTTCCTGAAGACTCGGTCTCATCATTCTGCTTTATGGGAGTGTGCGAAAGGTTTAAAGTGTCAGTGCTCCTGTTGGCTTCACATTAAAATAAGAGGAACTGACTGATCATCATTTAATCTGCTGATCATGTTCTGTGTTGGTTTGTTTTTAAAATGGCAGAAAACAGTGAAAATCATGTTTCTCAGGGTCCAAAGTGACCCCTTCAAATGTCTCAACCACATTCATTCACTTGTGAGAGTAACATAATCTGACAGCAGAGGGCAGATGCAGGTTCACCTTCACTAAAAATTCAAATAAGTTCTCATTTATCAAAACTGTGTGAGAGCTCACTGCTGTGTGAATAACTTCATTGGGGATTAAAACTCAAAACAAGTCAAGGATGAAGAGGATCGCTTCATTATTTAAATGACCTGTGAAGAAAAACAGCAGCAATATGTGAAGTTGCCCAAATGATTATTTTAATGTCCATTCTGAGGCTTCAGCTTTCACTGAAAGTAAAAGACAAAATGTCTTTTTTACTGTGTAATCCCATTTCAAAATAAAAGTCAGAGAAGATACTTCCTGTCCTGTCATTACACATGAAGTTTCTATAACTATGAAGCTCATGCACCGTTTTTTTTTAATATTTTTATTTTATAAACAAAAACAATGCAACTTGTTTACTGATCATCATCTGTGGACTTTATATTTTGTGTTTTCAGATGACTTTTTGTTATTTATTTATCTGAATGTTGCAGAGCCTCTGTACATTTTGTGACCTTTATTCAGAGTTTGGTAGAATGTACTTTGAGCCTTATTATTGTCAGGAGAAAGTGTTTTAATAAATTTTAATAAATCTGACTGATCTCTAAAAATGTCTTTTTTATGGCTTAACCTGACAAAGCACCTGCTCTGTAGAAAATAAAACCAGCTGTGTGGTTCTGAGTTTTGATAGTGAAGGCTGATAATATTTAAAGATATTTTGTCACATTTACAAATAAGAAACAAACTGCTGAAATAAAAATCACTGACCAGCCACATATAGTAATGACAACACAAATATAAACACAGCCGCTGAAAAAACTCACAAATTTAATTATGGACACGGAAGTGAAATAATAAAAGGTCAGACTTCTGAACCCCAGCCCTCTGAAGTTCTTCCTTCATGTTCTGTCTTTCCAGTTCTAATTGTTGACACGCCATAATAACGTGTTACTGATGCCTCTACCTGACAATGTTCACATAATCCAGTTGAGCGTTTACCTGTTTTCTGTATTAAATAAAGTCCTATGTGTTTGGACCATAAAAGACAGGCAGTTTCCACTTCTCTAGCTTCATTGACTCTATTGGTGAAACAACCTGTCTATCATATTAATATTCTCAGCTAATTGGTCAGACTGGTGCAAGTTTTCCAGCCTCTACGGGTTGAGCCCCTCCTTCTCCTCGTGCCTCCCAGAACCTTCGACGCTGGTGCTGTCCGGTATAAGATATCAAAATGTTCGGCCAGCAGGTTTTAGTGCTCAGTAAGTATCTTTAAAATATATACAACGAAGCTTTAAACTATTTAAGTTGACATGGAGGCCGACTGATGCTTTTAACGTCTACACAAAGCGGGTACCGGTTGCTAACCAGCGGTGGAGCATGCGGTTCCATCGCCTGTCTGTGAACTAAGCAGGCTAACAGTTAGCATCAGACAACAAGCTAACGGCCAAACCCAGTCTGTGCTAGCGTTGTAAGCATCGTTAGCTTGCACAGCGTCGAGCATGTCGAGATGCTAGGCTAAGCTAGTTTATCACTCAGGATGAAAATATTGAAGTTGGCTCGCTAGCAGACTAACACAGCATCAGTCTGTGTTTAATACTAATAATTTGGCCTTAATGTTTAATAAATAACGCCTATAGGAGAGCTGGATGTGCTCAGAGTAAGATTAATTTAACCTGCTGATTTAAATAAGTCTCCGTCATTATTTTAGCTGCTAACATTAGCTAGCACTTATACTGTTGTACAAGTGAAGGTAAATGATGATCATCATCATCATCATTAAGGTAAATGATGTGATGTACTGTTGAAGCAGCCACGCCCTCAATGACCCAGCTTTTATTAAACAGCATTTGTCATTTTTCAGATAATCAGAATAAATCTGCTAGGATTTGTTTTTCAGTTACTCTGTCCACTTTGGGACAAATTCTCTGTACTGTAGGATGTTTCTGATGCGCCCCATCTACCAACGCCGGAATTTCCTGTTATTTCTCGCTGTTCACAAATTAAAACATGAATATGTTAGAAGCTTGTCAGATTCCCATGGAGATTTAAAGACATCACTGATGAGACATGTAATGAAGCAATACTGTAGCTATCAGGGGCGTTGCTAGACATCAAATTCTATTGGGGCACAGTCCCCTTTTACTCAAATCACTTTTTATGGATGTCTGCTGCATTAATGAAATGAGCTGTACATTGTGCTATATGAATGCCCCTTGCATAGCCCACTGTTCCACTGCTGCAACTGAAACAACTACTGGTAAAGGTAAAAATGTAAAGATAATATTTATGAAAATATTTATTTCAATATACCTTGAAGAACATGCTTAACATGTTTTATAGCATAAAACTCTGGCCCTATATTGCACATTCGTTTGCATTCTACTCCACAATAATAATTTGATTGTTAGGCAGCCCCAGTGTGATTTGTTAAATTTTAACTTTCACAAGTTAATCTGTCAACTAATTAATTTAAAAAATACAATCTAATTAGTTTTTGTAACTCATAAGGCCACATAACATACCGATGCTCCACTTACTGGTCACACACCTGTTTCTAGGCACAGATGAGGTTCCTCCACACTGTCCCTCCCTGCATCAGGTTTACCTGTTTGTTAAATGTGCATAAAACAAACATCATTTGGTCTGTGTGACAAGAGAATCAAATGTTATATTCATTAAATTTGCATAAAACAAACATCATTTGGATGGTGTGACAAGAGAATCAAATATTATATTCATTAAATGCAGAATGAGTAGTCCGAAGTTAACATAAACTGCTACGGGTGATGTATTATGCAACATACCTAGCATTCCTTTTATTTCACTGATAAATAGCGTTTTAAGAGTAGTCCAGCTGATCACATGCATTGATAGGCAGAGCTCTACTTTACTTCTTGTTCAACGTTGGTGCCTTGTTACACCTAACTAAACTAATGTTAGCTTGTTTACCAACTACAGCCAGGTCTTCCCTCTCTCACCATCATCTCTCCAAACTTCTTCCCTGTCAAAATGAAATCATCAGTATTATTCAGGCACTTAATTTAGTCCCTGCCACATACCACGGTACATTACAGTTCCTTTCTTTTGTACAAGCCAGATGCCCTGTGTGTGCTGCAGTGCACCAGCTACGATGTGAACAACATGCATACATGCGCACCAGGATGTACAAAATCTGACCACTGTGCCTCAGCTAGTATTATCTTTGACATTCTGGATTCGAACAACAAATCAGTTCTTTCAATCTAAATGAATTTATTGAAGAAATATAGGAGCCTGTTAAAACTCAAATGTGTGATTTTGCTGGGGCACAACAGATCAACACTGAGGCACGTGCCCCAGTAAAAGAGATCTGTGGTGGCTATAAATCTCATATTTATAAGTCTCCTGCAGCTCTGTTTAAAAAAAAAACACTATGTGGTGAATATGTAGTGGTGTGTAGTGATGTTAATTTCTTGTCTCTTTGCAGATCAAAATGTGAAGAGAGAGTCGGGACGTAAAGTCCAAACGGGAAATATCAATGCTGCAAAGGTCAGTTTGTGCTGTGCAGAACCTGAGCTGAAGAATAACAGCGTTTGTATGAAGGTCACGATATGCTAACCCCTGGACATAGGAATAAAGCTTAACCTCTCACACTAAGAAAGCCACTTTCGGCTTTTCCCGTTTAGGGGTCGCCACAGTGAATTGTCACACTGACGACTCACATGTTGACATTTGGCACGTGTTTTATGCCGGATGCCCTTCCTGACCCAATCCTGACTCGAACCCGGGCCGCAGCAGTGAGAGTGCTGCGCCTTAACCACTAGCCTACCAAAGCTTAACCTCTCACACTAAGGTGGCATATTTTGAAGCGTGTTAAATCTCCAAACGCTGGTTGAGATATTCACTCAGTAATTGACTACCATGAACCTGCGAACAGAGTTCCCTGCAGACCTCCCTCTTTCATGTTATTAATTCAGGATAAGACCTCAAAACCTCCCAAATAACAACAACCTGCAGTTATAGGCAGCTACCTTCTTATACCCTCAGATGTTACTGTATTGAGAAATTTTAATAAACCAGTATACTTTGAGGAAGTGTTACATTTTGTCTGAAATAACCAATAAAAGCCGTGACACTGGCCACTTAAGACCATATTTGTTTTGCACAGTATTTAGTTGGCATAAGATGTGATTAAGGATAGGAAATTCAAATGGCAGCTTGTATTATGTAATAAGTGAACAGCTGGATATTTTGTATAAAATATTTTCTGATATAACTGTCATTTTAATCATTTTAGCTGTTCAATGTTGGTCTACTGTCAACCCTATGAATTGTGTAATCAAACACTCACTGTGAATTGTGTAACATCAAACACTCAATGTTTGTGTGTTTATATGTGTGGCTTTAACCATTACAACTTATAACAGCTGTTCTCAGCTGGATCAAGGTGGGGTGGATTATGGCTTTCTGTTGAAAATCTTTATTTCAGGGTGAATCGGCTTTAGGCAAGAATTCATTGTAATCCCTCTTTTATGCAAAAATTCATTATAAATCCTCTTTCAGGCAAAAAAAACGTAAATCCTTGCTTTAATCCTGAGGCATTGACACAGACCAGTCGTCCCGCAGTTTGCAGTTAATACCTTATTTGGCGTGCAAAGTCGTGTTCTTCAGAACTATTGCATATCTTTTAGTGTCAAAGCTCAAGTCCACTGCCCCTGAACTAGTCTCCACCCCACTGTGATTCAGCTTCAGCTTTCTCAGAAAACTAAATCATCCTTATATTTAATAAAAATGCAGGAAAGTCACATCTGATTTAAATACCAAAGATCCCATCATTGCTTTTAACTGAACAATCAGAATTACACACTGATTTTACACAAAACTATTGATGCCTTAAACTTAAAGCATGGATCTGTATATTTTGAATACAATACTTGACTAAACATGGATTGTCATTGATTAAACAGTAATTATCAACGAAATCTTTACTTTTAGGCTTGAAACCATCATTTTTATGAACTCAGTGCCTGTTCTTCTCTTCTCTCTGTCCCACACTCATACACACTCCTTGTACTTCCTCCTTTGTATGGATGTGTATTTTACTTCCCTTTTTTCCATGATTCAGCATTTTCACTCTTTATGATTTAGGTTCTGAATGTACTTTAGACTTCTAAAGGTACCTTTTTCAATACAATCCTTTCTCATTTTATTCTTACACATTCAATAATGATTATTTCAAACAAAACGCACAAATCATCTTTCTAAATATTTTAACTTTCTGCGTTATGGATTCTGCCATAGCATTTTCATAATAATTTTCTTTCTCCCAGCTCCTCTTGACGTTTCCTGTAAACATTCTTGCAGTTCTTGTGGGAATTCTAACTGAAAAGAGACAATTTGTTCAGTAGTCTCCTGCAGCTTTTCTTGTAAGATTATTTCTGATGCCAGATCATCAGAGGCTAGTTTGCTGTTATGGCTTGTGTTTTTTGGTTCTCCCCGGGACCCATATTTACAGCTTTGCTGACACACTAAAGAGTAGAAAAAAAATATCTGTTTTCAGACTGTCATCGAGTCTTTGCTTTTTCCTTGTAAATCTAGGTTTATTTAATTTCTTCAAGTCTCCTAAAATTATTCAAAGGTAACTTTTTTTGGTTGAACTGCAGTAGATCTTTCAACAGCACTGAAGCCGGTTTAATTAAAATACAAACTTAAATAACACAGATACACAGTGAATTACCGTATTTTCCGCACTATAAGGCGCACCTAAAAGCCTTAAATTTTCTCAAAAATCGGCCGTGCGCCTAATAATCCGGTGCGCCTTATGTGTGCACTGAGTTCCAAAATCTGTAAAAATGTTGTTCATGTTCATGAATTCAAAATCAACGAATCTATGGTTCGGAAGTGGAGGAAGCAAGAAAATGAACTGCGCCAAGTTAAAAAGAGGAAACAGAGTTTCCGCAGGAACAAAGCTTGGTGGCCACCTTTAGAAGACGAACTTGAACGATGGATTATTGAACAAAGAACAGCCGGGAGAAGCGTCTCTACAGTCACCATTCGACTGAAGGCAAAAATGATAGCACAAGACATGAAGATCGAAGACTTTCAAGGAGGTCCGTCTTGGTGCTTTCGTTTTATGAAAAGGTGTCATCTCTCCATCCGCGCAAGGACTACC